GGTGCTTACCGCAAGCTTTCAATCTTAAGGTTATTGTTGTATCTCTCAAATGTTCCGATTCTCAGGTCCATGTCCAACGGTACCAAATACAAACCGGGTGCGACTACAAAGTTTAAAGGCGTTTTTGCGTACTGTAAAGAATCTTGAAATTGGTTTGTAATTTGTTCGAGGTCGGGCACCGAGTTTATCAAAGACTTCAATATGGTGATAAATTGTTGTTGAGCATCTAACCCGGTGCCTGGGGCTAAAACGCTCGTCTTTGTCTGAGCTTGGGCTCCCAGTATTACGCGTAGACATAAGCTCTGATTGATTCGTTCACCTTCATGATGCCTACGTCTGTTAGTTTACTCTTTATAGGAATGAAACCCCACCAAGCCAATGTAGCTTTATCAGCCTGTTGTAAAAAAGACACCTTATATGCTTTTCGGTGATCGGTATCTATTGACATGTATGTCAGACTCACGTTGGTCCAGCTTACTATTTGTATGACGAACTTGTTATAATTTGTATCCGGGACTAACTGGTGATTCCACAGAGCTTGCCGCACATTTTCTAAAAGCTGCAATTTCGACTGTACTTAGCCCAACAAAACAACCGGCTTTAAATGGTGTATAAAAAGCTGCCCCTGATCCATTTCAGGTGTCGTTAAATTTGCGGTTGTCGTAATTGTGCAACGCGTTGAAGATATCGTCGCTCAGGATAGGCATCACGCAGTCGTAAAAGATCTTTCTCACCGTGTAATACATGTGGAAGATAAATAAAGCAGACACACACGGGTTTGAATCGGACAGTAAATCAAAACCCGCCCCGCATGCAGTCGTCACGCAATACACCGCGAAATTAAACTGATTTTGGTAAAATGATATCGGGTTTGTCGTCCAACGGTTGACTGCTTTTCCGTTTTTACTTGGGGTAATTTATACACCGAGGTTACATTTAGAAATTTGACTGAAAATCAGTAATCTTTATTGACTACAATTGATAATTGACTAAAGTTGTGTCCCATCTTTTAAATAAAGCTTTTTTAAAAAGGATGCGCGGTGGGTTCTACTACTTTAATACATTTTGGCAAGTGGGTGGCGGATCTTTGGGTTGTTCTTGATATCAGACAGACTTGGACAAAGTTATTCGCCAAGATTTTTCATAAGGTCTTTTTTAAAAACTACTTAAAGTAGTTAAAATGGTCGTTGATATCACGACACTGTATCCAAAGTTCGTCAAAAGGATTTGTATTTATCTTCTCCTTGTATATAACGTTTGGAACGAGCCTACCTCTCGGCAGATTCAACAACTTGCCAATTTCTTTACCCAACTTTAATCTGAGATTTAAACTTGTTGTCATTATTGTCACCAAATTTGACTTTTCGTGTACTTTAGAACTCAAAAAGGGAATGGCGTTTAAAATAAAATCAAACAAATCCACGTTGTAAACCCCCGGAGCGTTTGAACCAGAATCCGTAACTAAAAGAGTGCACCTGGGCTCAGTTTGAGCGGCTCTGAGAGTCCTCGTTCTTTCTTCGTTGTCTTCGCCTAAAAATCCTTCTTGAATAAATTCTAAAGCGATGCGACGGGCTTTTTCATAGCTATCAACTTGGCATTGCGATAAAAGTATTAGATAAACTAAGGCGTTTTCCCTCTCTTCATTTGATGCTCCTAATCTTGAACGTTGATTTGTTAACGTTTTTATTTGATTGGGGAGGCCACCTATTTTTTGGTTAACTCTGCCGTGAAATTCTGCTAAAGTTCCCGCCTCGTAAGCTCGAATATAATCTCTATTTACGTCATAAAATAAATTCGACACATTCGTTGCATTCGACACAATCTTTACATTCGGTACAATTATAGCAGCTGTCGCATTGAGAACAATGCTTGCAAGCGATACAATCTTTAACACATTATTCACAATTATCAAAATACTTGCATTTGTCGCCACATCTACAATTTTTACAGTTTTTACAGTCAAAACATTGATCCACGCGAATAGAATCTGAACACCTTCTGCAATCACATGCGTCTATCACGTTAACAGATTGACTCGTGTTTTTGCAAAAGTTTGAATTGACGTTTGGAGTTTGGTTTGTCATCTCTATTTAATAAATAGTATTTACTTAAGCCCGTTGCAAATTTATTTCCTTTTTTTTTCAAAGCTTCGACAGCAGAACTAAGTTTCCGGTAGGCACAGAAGTCCCGGAAAATTCACTGTGTGGTTTGGGGCCTACCACTAAACTCATGAAATGACTAATTTCTTGCTTACTGACTATTTTCTTCATTTTGACGACTTTTCACCATGATTGACTAAAATAAAAAATGACCCCCCCACACAAAAACGGGACTTCCCGGGTCTTCTGTGCTTCCCGGAAAAACTTAGCTCTGCTGTCGAAGCTTTGAGAAAGAATAAAATAAATTTGCAACGGGCTTAAGTAAATAGTATTTAATTAATAAAGCTTTCAGTGTGTAGCTGGTCCAGGTAGTCGTACACGTGGAATAACCATGATAAAAAAGAATATACCCAAGGCCTGAAGGGCGTGTACCATCCTTTTCTCTCCCCTTACTTTTGGACATAGACAGCTCTGATAGTTGGCCAGTTCGGAGGGTTTTTTCGGTTGTAATGCCATTCAAGCCTTAGAATTTTTTGTAATTCTTATTTTCAAACCATGTGAAGTACATCTTTCTGATTCTTACACACGACTTTTACATAAATTTAAAAGTGCCAGTTATCAGTTGACAAGTGTATACTTTCGACAGAAACGCTCAAAAAGAAACGTACCATGCGCTATGTTTTGTAGGAACCGCAAACGTGTTAGACTCCAGGACAAATGGAATGTCTAATGCCTGCGCCAACATCGGGACGCAAGGTATGCAGTCGTCTCCAACAAGCATGTCAAATCTCTCCTCTTGCAGACGTTTCATGGTGGCTGAATCGGAAAACAGATCGTCACATTCTTGCAGCCACATGTCTGCCACAACTTTAAACCTGTCGCGGAAGTCTTTTTCTAAGAACCACTCATAACCAAAGAAATTCATTTGCCCCGTAAGCATTGCTTTAGTCGCATCGCCATAGATAGAGGTCTTGTTCTGTTCAGTGTAGGACGAATTGAAGACGACCACAGACAACAAGTCAGCATCCTTCTGCCAATGGCTGGTAGGATTTGAGCTGCTCATCAAGGAGACAACGTGATGACCTTGGCGGGCCAATGCTCGGCCTGACTCGACAAGGTTAAAGTAGTGGCTGTTTCCTATGATAGAGACTAAATACAAAAAATTGTACTTTTCCTCGCCTGGTTTATTCCCCACATCGCTGCTGAGAGCTGGCAGAGCGAGCGAGGACAGCAGGATCAAAAAACCTAGACATAAAATCGACATTGTCAGCGAATTAATTCTTCTGAAAAATGAGAAAACACATGTATATGTAAAAAACTTCGGGATCTGCTCGTTTCGCACAAGTTCTTTTACCTTACCGAAGTGGACTTTACACTGATCTATGATAAGACACATTACATTTTTTTCACAGCAGTTCTGTCAAGAAGAGGGCGCCGACATGGCTGTTTCGAATATTCAACTGAGTTTCCTTGAGCCAAATTGTAAATAATACCAGTCAAATACAATGTCGTTATCAATCATTTCAAAGGTTCTGTGTTACAATTAGTGCTGAGCCTGTGAACCGTTGCCCGTGATCCAATGTGCGGCGCTGATTCGTCCCGCATACTTAACAGTCCACGACCACGTTTCGTATGCGGAACGAATCAGCGGCGCACACTGGATCACGGGCAACGGTTCACAGGCTCAGCACTAATTGTAACACAACGTAGCATGCTGGTTCAACAAGACCGATTAACGACTTGATTTCAAGTCTATTGTTGGATCCTCAGAAGTGCAGCAGCTTGGACTCAGAAAAGTGTTGCATATCGTATATGGCTTTTTCAGCCATGTTTATTCGATCTGAAAAGTTCCGATTTCACAAGTAACTAATAATTATTCGGGGCGTGCACAATAACTACATTTCCAAACAGGGTTTAAAAGGTAGCAAATATATTTAGCAAAATCGTAACTGGCGTGCATAAATTGACTCTACATGGCTTGCAAAACTAACATGTTCTGATGAATTTATCAGTACTAAAAACGTAATTCATTCTTGACAAAATTCATGCTTGGAAATTATGCCAAACTTCGAAAATAGACCCGGTCTAGTAACTTCGTTAAGCATTAGAAAAATTAGCAAATATGTCTGACAAGCATGGTGTGGCTGTCTTTCTTAGAAACTACAGAGGGCGCTCTTCAAGCTCTGATCAGGCTCACTGAAACAATAAGCCATTTGCGAGTTAAATATGAATAAAATCTGGTACACTGAGTTATCTGATTGCACATAAATACAACAACTTGAATTCCCCAGACTAAATACACTGTTGCTATACCTCGTGATTCGCGGCAAGCTTTTGCTTAGCAACCACCATCTCTGGAATGGACTGGTTCCCTTGTGCCCTTCTTTTCCATTGAGAACAGTGTGTTGTTGCAAGGCGTCTCTTATGTAACTAAGGAAAAGCTTCCCCCGAATCACGGGGTATAAAAACAGTGGCTGTAGTACGGAGAACTCCAATTGTTATGTTCACGTAAATTTAAATAGTTATTTACCAGTTAGTTAGTTTAACAGATTTTATTCAAATTTAACCTGCAAAAGGCCTATTGTCCTTGCGGTGTGCCGACGACCTGAGCTACGCGCTTTATACCATCAGAACAAAGAATCAACCAGCCAATAACAGCGTATACGCTGGTCACGTGATTTGGAGATGGCGTGCACCAACAGCGACAAGAGAATTGGTTTATTATGGACAATTTAATATTTTTCCCCGTCGCCTGATTATAAAATCGGGGGACCCAGCAGGCATCAGTAGAATTACTCAGCAACTGAACCAGACTCTAGGGTATCACCGAGAACCTATAAGGTATAATAATGTTATGTTAAGCTATAAGTTTCTGGTCAGCGGCTGGCTCCAAAAGTGGTGCAGCGACGCGCTTTTTTCCCCTCACTTTTCCCCCTAGAAATGATGTACACGCATACATGTACGAGCTTGCACTTCCGTACCAACTGACTGGCCCCCTCACTAATACAGTTTTAAAAAGAGTCTTCAGCTTGAAGATGTGCACAGCACACATACCACGTTGCTTGTCTGGCTCCCAGATGTAATTCGTAATACAGGAATGGTGAAAGAGAGTGCCCAACTAAATGTATCGGGACTCCTTTAATGTATATATTACTCAATCGTACCCAATTTAAATACATTAAAATAATGCAGTAGCGGGATTCCAGTCGATCTAGCAAGTTTGGCAGTTTTTAGACATCATATTATGCCAAATAAAAAAACTTTTATTTTGCCGACGCGCAAGTCTACGGAGACTTTTTGTGCACCTTTAAAAAAATTGGATTTTTTTAATCGGGTGAAAGATGAACATCATTGAAATTGACAGTTTGACTTTGACCACAAATCGACTCGCTTGTTATTTATTTTATACTGACGCATGTAGTTAGCTGGAGCTGGGTAAGTCGCCTCAATCCATTATCATCGCTAGACCCATTAGCCGGTTAATAACCTCCCGATCACAGTTTTATTCTCTTGTCATTTAGGTCAGGCTGCAACATGCAAAATATATCAAGGACATTAAGCACACATGTACTTTGCACAGGTGCACACCCCTTTCTTGAAGCTTATCTACCAGATAACCCACGGCTAATGAGTTCATCAAAGTCAACGTTCATTCATTGGTTTCAAGGGCATCACTAAACGTGTATGCCTCACGTGAGCATGGGGCGATTGAGAAGAATGTCACAGATTAAGACTACAGTCGAACATAGATAAGAAGAGAACTGTTAATATACTATCATGTTTATAACAAGTCAATTTGGGATCTTAAGTTCTAGTTTTTCTTTGTTTCTTTGTAACTTCCTCGATGACATGCGACGTATGAGTTTCTATCCCTCCTCCCGTCCACTGCACCTTCCAACATGATTTTGATGAGACTGCCATCCCCTCTAAGAATGCAAATTGAATATTTATGTCCAGCAAAGTTAACATGTTTTATACATCTTCAAGTTTAGAACAACAAACACTTCAAAAAACGTACTACGGGAAAATGTATTGAAAAACAAAGTAAAGTACATACACTAAACATTTTTTAAAAATCCAAGGGTAGTATAAAACTTGTACATATATAATTATATTTACAAACTGTGTAGGTACGTATGCCATGTTTACCATGTGAATAATATCAGACTTAGTGTGCTGAACTAGGATTGTAGTTTCACGGAGGGAGTAGCAGCGTCTGTTGTTGAATACTGTTTTAGTCAACAGAGAACGCTCTTTCATTTTTACGGTGAAGCAGGGCCATGCGTGCAGTTCAATGATACGTAATTTAAATTTGTGTTAAAGGCACCACTTTTTTCATTAGTAAATTAAATAAAAGCTTCTTTCTTTGACAGATAGAAGTTAAAAAAGTTATTAATCTCTAATTTAAATATTCTTGCAATGTTATGGAGCAATTAAGTTACTGTGGCGGAACAACTGAAACCTTTTTGTGGCGGACCAGCAGACTGGCCTGATCGTGTATTCTTGGCCTGGTAATTACCAGGCCGACATAGGAAATATAAAGGGTTGCTAGGCCATATTTGTTAACCAAATCTTCTTGGTTTCACTGCTTTTGCTATGATCGAAATAGCGCCTTCTCTAGTTTAGTTTAGTGAGCCTGAGAGGAAAAGGTCACGCAGTAAGCTTCCCGAACCCTCACACGGTCCGCCTATGTCCACTTATATGGGGGCCGTCCTATTACGTTCGATAATTTTTGAAAGGATTCCAAATGAAACTACCCCATGAAACGCTCATGTCAGAATTTTACCTTTGTGTTTTTTCAATTAATATTTCGGAAAAGTAAACTTTAGCTGGGTAAAAAACGATTTTCATTGACGACCTTTCACTTCCAGCGGTATTGTACCTAGTCTCGTTTTCATGCAGTTTATTTTTTATGAATTAACTGAGCAAAAAGTAGTATACATTCTAAAAATTTTGCCCGTTTTATTTCCTATCAAGGATTCTGGAAGCGTGCCATCAGGGGTCAACTTTCAGGCTCTATTGACACTGCTTTACTTATGGCTTTTCCCTGTACAGGAGGCTGGTATGAACGAACTTCATCCGAATGCATGACTTTTTTCTAGCCCTTTTAAATGCAATTTACTTGAGAAACAGCATGGGTCTACACCTCTATGTCCCTACATTTTTTCAGTTTTTGCTGTCCCAAAGTGTAGTTAAAGGAAGATTATAAGTGGAAAAGAGAAGTAAGATATAGGGTCAGTGTAAGGGGTGGGAGGACAACCATGGACAAATATTCCACGAAAAAAAATCGAATCAGGTAGTGACTGAAACTCAATCCAACACGGCATGCATTAAATCAGAAAACAACCTACAATACTTGGTAGCATCTGTACTTTACAATTGTTGTGAAAGCCTATCTGAGTTTTTCTGTAACAGTGATTGGGTATTTTTTAAAAACCATAGTATACATGCATGGGGCTTCGAGGCAGAAATTATTGATTTTAGAATTTTAAGAATCTCGTAGTATGTCTTAAGGGATACCCATCATTATATAATCGCTACGAACCCCTGTTACAATCCGAAAAGCTTCAAACTATTAAGAATAGTCATTCCAAAGCTTGAATTTTCTCCGATGTAACAAAGAAATCAAACAAGATCACAATGACATAAAGAATAAATAGACAGTTACTATTTAATGAGAATGTAAGACTTAGCATGTAAAGAGAAAGGATAACAAAGAAGATTGGAACTAGCTTAGAATGATAAGGATAACGAATCAAGAGAATAAACAAGATGATCTTACGGGCGAGAGCTTGGCAGGCATTACAGTAAAGGATGCTGGACTCCACAGCGGTGGCGTAGCCAAGTGGGGGCTGGGGGCACGTGCCCCCCTCCCCACCAATTTCCGGTGCCCCCCGCCCACAAAAAACCGGATGAATGAATATTGAACAAGGCTAACAAAACTCACCCCATTACAAAAGTAATTTAAATTTGGATGATTTTTTACTATAACTAGGTATGATTTACAAAACGTTATGTAATACATACTGTACTACGGCTATGTAAATTATTACCGAGTTAAACCCTTCAGTGCAGGGTGTAAAACTGTACAGGTTAAAGATTTTTCCACATACAATGTCTACTCTGTATAATATTTACGTGTATACACAGTACTTAGTGCTAATGGAAATTGGCAGTGGCCACGTAACGATACAGGTACAAATTTAAATTCTGGTATACATCCTGTACATAAGCTCTACTGCATTTTTATATTAACTTTTAGGCCTTGGCCTATTTGAATATATTCATGTGTGAATAACCACTGTTTGCAAGAAAAAAAATGAAAAATATAGGGCCTACATGTGCCACAAGATCAGGAGTTGTTAAAAAAAACAGGGTTACGGCGCTATACAATCTTTCCTTTTTAGCCTCATTCGTGTGACTAACGGCAGGGCCACGCTCACACACAATGCGCGTATGATACGCGTTTTCCATCTAGTTTTTTTCAGACATCTGTGGTCCTATCGGCGCAACCATACGCTGACTCACGCGCGCGCTTTGTTCTAAAAGATCCTGGTTTGGGAATTAATACCAAAGATAGCAGTGCAAGATGGGTCACTGACCGCCAGAAAGTGTAATCGGCTGCGTGATGCTGCGGCGGCCATTCGAGTAAGCAAAGTTTCCAAAAGTTCCCGGAAGTGTCAATATTGACAATGGCGCCTGGCAGGAGAAATTCGTCATCCTCTGCCCACTGTTCGGCACCTCAATGCAGCAATAGGTTGTGCAAGCACCCAGAATTGTCTTTTTTCAGACCCCCAGAATAAAGAGGGGAAATGTGAATTATATTTAATATTTTGTTCCTTCTTCTCTTCCGCTCAAGCTGTTAATGCGTCACGGTTTTCTTCGTTTGTATTTAACACAGGCCTAGGCTAGGCCTAAGCTTGCTTAGCTCCGTGCCCATGGTGCCGTTTTTCGAAGCACAAGAACAGGTCCAGTTTTTCATACATGTGTACTGAAACTTTGGTTTGGTAAGCCCAGGCTCAGCTTAAGAAACTTAGTGCCAACTTTTAATGGGGGGACAGCCGGTTAACACATTGTGACACTTGACAGCAACCAGTGTAAGACATAATTCGACCTGGGGTTACGGTAGGCCCACTCGTTATAATACAAACAGTTGTCAAGCATTAACGTTAATTTAACGGGGTGCAATAATATTGCCTTCACTGCAAATGCAATTAACCCGTGTCCAACCTAGGCGATAAATTCAACATGCATCTTTTCAGAAAAAACTGTGTAAAAATCATAATGGCAAAGCAATTGATGTGTACCCAGGCAGCAACTACACGTTTTATATTAAAATAGTGACTGCAGGGTGAATAAAGAAAAAAGAAGATGGCAGCCCCCATGAAAAGCTAAACCAACGTTTGGTGAGTCCGTTCCTTTTGTCCCATTTACTGGGTAGAACCCATAAATACAACAGCAATGTGATGTGCTAATAAGCCTAAAACAGGCATATTTTATTTTTACTGCAATACATGTAAAAGGATATGTACAAATAAAACACTGACATACTGTACACAGTTGAAAAATTTAAGACAAAATTGATTTTTCATGAGACCTGCCACTTGTATGTGTGTTTCACGTGTGAACTAATATTGGTTATACAGGCAGTCCTACCTGCAATCTTTCCTTTTTCGGTTTTAGTAAATTCCACCCTGTATATGTCTTCATAGACTTAACACTGCACAATTGATAACACTCTACAATATACTACAAATAATGTGAATGCAGCAAAAATAGGTATTTTGGAAATACAGAGAACATCTATATGCATGATATCACAGTGAAAGGGTAATGTAAAAAAAAACGAAGAAAGTGGACCATAAACAGGGCAAATGCTTCTCCAATGATTGCAATCAGATTTGTTCAGCTGCTTGACACTGTAAAATGCACAAACTACCTGTCTCTATTGCTTCCCCATCAAAGGAACTGCATGTGCCCTGTGTCCACCTGACCATTACATCTGGTTCTACATCCCAATCCTGACTGTCATATCTCATCCAGGCTACATTTTATCATCTCCTTAACGTTGTTACTACATTCCAATACTGGCAGACAGTCCTGCATCTCATTCTGCTTGGATAAGTTCAGCATCCTATCCTGGCTGTTACTTGTTATCCAGTCAGAGTTATCCTTTCTGTACATGCTGACAGTCAGTTTAGCACTGGATCTTTGGTGTAGTTGAGAAGGCATCTCATCCTGCACATTTAGTTTTAGGTAAAGGTTACAAATAAGTTAATTAGTTTGGACGACCCTATCACTTACAGTATGTGTGCATTTCGTACTAGGCAATGTAAGTTTTCTTTATGTCATGGAATCTAGATTTTACATTGACATGCCTACTGATATGCTGTAAGGATTCAAATGGTCACCAAGAAATGTAAACCTACATACATGGACATGCTGGATATGGGAATTGTGTATCTGGGGACCATTCATGTAGGCCTATTCCTACAATAAGTGGGAGATTAAACTTTTGGATTCACCAAGGTAGCTAACGTTAACCTTATGCAGGTATGCTGAAAAACTATAGGGTAAATAATATTGTGGAAAGAGGGCAGAGAGTTGTGTTTTGTGGGAATTAACATGCTTGATGGAAAAAGGGCTTTAATACATGAAACATGGAGGAGTCAAACTTACTTTAAGACTGGTTTACATCTAGTGTCAGTTAAAACTCACATTTTTCACAAATTTTAAACGTAATGGTTAAACGGAATATGAAAGATCGGTTGTATTGAACCCATCAATCTCAAAATTTGAAAAAGAGGGGTAGGCCTGTAAGCCGCCACCTACTAATACCAGTGCAGTTATTGGCACTGTTAATTAGTCATGGTGTAACCCAGGTTGGATGCTAGTCTAGATTACATTACGACTAGTGCAGTAAAGAGTCCACCTGCCTGGGCTAGTCATGACCAGGAATACAGACGAACTCATCAAACTCGATTCCAATATCATGAACATAATGAACCAACCTTTTGATGATGATGACGATGAATTTTGATGAAGTATCACTGTCTGACTGTGTCATTGACAATGACAGTATTGACAATGGCATTGCCGATTGTTGACATTTGGCATGATGTATTTGTGACTAATGTTAGGCCATGGAGGAATCATCCATAGGCCTAGTTAGGCCAAGTTATTTTTCATGTTTTAAATGGGCCTAACAATACCGAATACGTCATGTACGTTAACCCTAACCCCCTAGGGCATATGTAAGGTGAAGGCCTTGATGATGTAAAAATTATATTAAAATCGGCATGATCAGAGGATGTTAATGTTATTAACATAATTAATGGTTAACAAATTTTTCTAAAAATCACACATTTCGTGCCTGACATCAACTAAATATACATACCAACTATGCTCCATATCATGCCTCACTCACAACCATGAACATTTTACCATTTTCCACAATCACGGATATCCCGCAAAGAAAGCTGTACTCCATGACGTATTACACTCAGCAAATGGGCGTTTAGTACACAGTGGACCATCTTGCGCCGCTTCGCTGCGCTATACTATAAACGCAGCAAGCACCAGGCGTGGTACCAAGATCAAGACAGACACAGGGTACGTGTAGCTTACAACAGAGCCTTGATTTATTGGCGACTTGCTACTGCCATAAATCCTGGGAGACCCCCCCCAAAAAAACGCATTGCTGGGACTATCCTTGTGTACTACACTTTCGCCAAGGAACTATGCTTTGCATAGCCACAAAAATGGATGCTACAGACTTCAAAATATGACCCTCTATACTTTCCCTCTGGACTCGGAACTCCACGGCCTGTAGCCCATACTGCAGGGAAAATTTTAGACCGTGTTGTGTCACAGTCAGGCTTTTCATACGTGGAAAAGGTTTCTCACCACGTAAATTGTAATGGAGGCAACGTAAGCTTCTATTAATATAACAATTTGCAACATAATATGTGGGGTTATCTGGTCAATTGTCCAAGATAATCTTAGAAATTATTTTCCTGGTGGTTGTATTCAACCCGTCCTTGCACTCAGGAAGCACAAAGGTCATTAGAAAGCGAAAGCTTGACACAGATATGCAAATAACCCAGGTACAATGCAGAACAGTTACGTTGTTATGCATATTCATGTGAATTAGAATGAATTAAAACAGTTGGGTCGCCGTTGTTAAGACACGGTCCCCTACATTAAGAAAATCCGACAAGTAAAGTCAAAGAAATTTAATCCGAAAAATAAAATGTTAAATCCGAAAGTGCAGATATCTTTTTCATTTACTTTGGAAATAGTTGATATTATTACTCAAACCAATCCTTTTACATTTATGGATGAGCTACAGAATATTTTTGCCTCTGGGGTAAACCATTGTGAGTTAATTATTATGCAAATTCCATCAAATCTTAAAACTTGAAAGAATCGATCTCATCATATCTCACTCCTTCTTAAAATGTTCACCTCTACCAATACGGCACAGGCTGCGACAGCAAAGATAGCAAACAGACACGTTGATCATGATAACCGAGGCCAGAACCAGACCAATGAAAAGGTAAACATCTAGGAGATTCCTCTGAACGTAATTGAGATCCATGACTGCTGGTCGTAGATGGTTGCCGCCAAACCTGGTGACGTGGAGGATCCAGCGAACCACGTTGTCTACCGGTCTATCTGTATTCTGAAGGTCACGCAGGATCTTAGAGACACGCTCTGCGTTGTAGCGGAATCTGAAAATCATTTTGAGAGTTCAAAATATCTGCTAAATGTGACAAGAGAATAATACATGAAGAGTTCATTTATAAAACACAATGTGCGTCACTTTTTATATCTTTCAGAATCCTGCCCTCTCCTGGCTGCCCAAAGTTAGTTTCGACGCTTTTAAGGCACAGTAAGAGAACACTTAATGTAGCAAAAAAGAAGTTTACATTTCATTTCATTTCATTTGGGTTTATTGAAATCCGTTTCCGCAGTTAAAAAACTGAAAAAGAATGGATTAAACAATCAAAATATAAAAAGAATTTAAAAAAGAATTAAAAAAAACAGGATTAAATAATTACAAAACATATTCAACATTTGCTATTACAGTTTACACTCACAAAAAATTAACCATATAACATGACTAATGACCAACACTCATATAAGAACACTAGTAAAAAACGTCCGTTGCAATTTACACTTCAAAGATGAAATTATTGTGATCTTAAGAATTTCAGTCACATCTAACCTTTAAAATTTCACTCCCATTTAAAAAAAAACATTTAATAGTGGGCATTTCTTTAGAGGAGCACAATCCAAATATTTCTACCAAGAAAACTTATTAGAGGGGCATTCCTTCCCATATTTGTTATGCAACCGGATTAAGGTAGGAAGCGCAGTGGTGAAATAACGTTTTGTTTATACTTTAAAGGGACAATGGTTTTGCAAGCAAGGTGCACAATATCTTGATTTATTTGTGTAATTAAAAATAAAATGCGTCTTAAGTTTAAACCAAGGTTGATTTTGAGAATTTTAATCATCTTTAATGGATATACTACATAAGCCGTGAAACTAAAGCTTTTTAATTGAGTCCTTGCTATATCCATTCTTACCCAGGTACGGTCATGACTCTGCGAATGGTTCGGCTCAGAGTCTCTGATGTGAGGTCATTGATGTCCAACGTGAGACCAGCGCCTTGTGCCTCTACGTGGACCAAGTTATCTATTTGGTCCTCATAAAGCGGTATACCCACCATAGGCACCCCTGCCCACATTGCCTCATACGTGCTGAAAGCGCCACCATGGGAGACGTACGCACGGACATTGACATGTTCTGTTGAAAACAAACACGAACAACTCACCATTAAGAGTTCAATGGATTCCCAAAGTGGGACTGTTCCCTTACCAGTCAAGGCTGAAACAGATGGGCACAGTAATATTGAAATTTCAGTGACAGAGTTTGTTTGCAGTACTATATAGGTTTTTCACGTTACCATGTCTGTGGGTGCGCGTGTACGTTCAAATCGGAGAATTTCTACTGGTAATTTCGTGAATGCCAGAATGTTGAGAAGGCGCGTCTGTGTAAGGGTGCATTCCACCAAATGGTTGTATTACTGCGCGCGAGCTCATTAACCTGTGACAAGGCACTTTGTCCAATATAACGGCCAGTGCAGCACCGTATGTTAAAATTGTCTCAGATTTATTTTGTGGATAAAACAATCCCTATTCAATGTCTTTTTCAGTTTTCTTCAGCATAAATGAGATGGAAACCTTCCTAGGAAGACTTTTCAGTAGTAGGGATTGGAGAGTTCTGGCGCACTTCCCCTTTCCTCCCCTTTCACCCGCCACTTGCACCGGGGATTCCCACTTTACTGACCTTGACCTTTTGACCCCGGCGCACTTTTCCCTGTAAACAACTCGTGACCGGTACCGATCGCACAAACAATCACTCTCAAACAAAAAAGGGCATTTCCCCTCGCTACAAGTCTCGACTTGCCCTCGACTCTTCTACTTAAAGCACGGCTCTGTTCAAAGCAAAATGTGCTATGTTTACAACCGCCTTAAATAAATGGCCTTATATATAAAAATAACAATATTTAAAAAAACATGCCAAGTCAAGTCGATAGAAAAAATCATAAAAATTTTTGAAACCTATATATAAATAGAGACATGAGCAACCCACAACACAGGCCTCTACTATATCGACCTTTAATCGATTTAAGAAGACGTTTTGAGAAGAATTTGTCAAGCGATACAATATCCCATTACCAGCACCCAAGCGTAAATTTCACACTAAACCAGAGCCCATTGAAGCCATACGGGCAGACCAAAAAAAATTAAGGTACCTCCCGCATCAGTCATATCGCCAGCTGTTGAAAACGGTTCAAACATATAATATTACTTTTGCACACAAAGACAGATATGTTAAATTAGACTTTATTGAAGTGATTAAAGCTTACCCTCAGCCCGAGGAAATTGCAGAAGTCGACATTAGAAACGTCAGACGCTTTAAAGACAACTACCGCAATTGGGAATGGATACCCCGTTTCTTTGAATACGACCTCGTGCGCTTTTTTGATTTTTACAAAACTTTCATCGAGAAGAAAACGTTGGAGGAGTTAAAAGAAGTGGGTTCTTACAAATTGCAAACGGCTCTAAAAGTGCAGTTTAGATTGGAAAAACTGAATTCGGCGTATTCACCTCTCCGAGCGAAAATAAAACAGTTGCGACCAAAGCTGATGTGAAATATGCACTCGCTGAACAGAGGGGAAAACAGAGGACGTGGAGGCTCATACACAAAAAGGTTCTGGCTGGGTGTTTGATAAAGTAAAAGCTTTTACATCAACGTGGTTAAATACAACCCGGTGGGTGCGACTTACATTCCATTACCTTGGCAATTGGGGCACAAAAAAGCGATTATAAATGTAGAAAACAAAGATCAACAGTGTATCCGATGGGCACTGACAGCGGCTTCAAAGTTATATTCAGACTACGTCAAAAATCAGTTAGAAACAAAACCAAAATTTAGAATCAATAACGAGCGCACCTCGAATTACATAGCAGATGGCCTAAATTTTACGAACATAAGCTTTTCCAACACCATTTTCACAAATCCCGCGTATTGAATCGCAAAACAACTTAGCAATCAATGTGTTTGGTTTATGACAAAAAAGACGGCCTTTGTATTCTTTATAAAAGCAAAAAATGTCTGAACCTATAAATTCACTTCATTTTACCCAAGTTGAAAAGAGTCACTATTGTTGGATTAAAAACTTTCTCGGTTGACGGGTGATGTCGATCAACACAACGGTCAAAAACACTGGGCTTTAGCTGCATGTCGCATTTTCAAACGGAAGAAAAGTTAAACAGGCACAAAAAAGATCGCCAAGGGTTAGACGTTGCTTCTTGTAAAGTCGAATTACCCGCCAAAGGCGAAAATATTCTGAAGTTTGAAAATTATAAAAACAAACAAGCCGCCCCTTTTGTCATTCGCGCTGATTGTGAGTCTGTTTTAGAAAAATTACCGCCAACAGATACAAACACGGTCAAAACACAAATTTATAAGCCTTGTGGCTACTTATACGCGGTAGTCAGATGTGACGGTAAATGCACTTCACGCAAGATTTATAGAGGTAAAGACGCGGCCACCAAATTTATACAATCGCTTTCTGAGGAAGCAGACAAGATCAACGAAACGTTTAAAAATAAAAAGCCGTTGGTCTGGTCACCAGAGTTACAAAAAATCTACGAAAATTGTAATCGCTGCTGGACCTGTGAAAAGCTTATCGGCAAAACAAAAGAATCTCAGTGTCAGTGCCCATTTCCATGTGAGCCAAAACAAAGGACGAAAAAGTTGAAAACAGTTCTGCAAATGAAGCTGGGTTTAGAGAATTTCTATGTATGACGTGTGAAAAGCCCATCAACAAATTTAGAGATAAGAGATCATTGTCACGTGACGGGGAAGGCCGGGATCCAGCACATGCCAGTTGTAATCTCAAGGTAAGAGTTGTCCCGAATCAAACGTCCATTCCGGTGATTTTACACAACTTAGAAAAATACGACGCGCACTTGATTATGCAGGGCGCTGACGAGTACAACGGGAAAAAATAAAATTAATTGCTAAAAATACTGAGAACTATATTTCGCTCTCCTTGGCCAACTTAGGTTTTAAGACTCATTTCGTTTTACGGCGACCTCGCTGGATCGGTTGGTTAAAAATTGTTCACCCGATGATTTTAACTAACTTCGCGAAAGGTTTTCAGAAAATACAAATTTATTGTCTGCTCCAAGAGACGAGCTTACCACCAGTAGACGCTTTTTATAGCTCTCTGTAGCAGTCTACGGTGGTTAGCAAGAACATTTAAGAGCCCAAAAAGTATGGCAAGCCTTTGGTTTGGCCTTTTGTTATTGCTAGCGGCTGTTTTTGAGAATTTCCGTAAAGTATGTACACAGAACTACGGCCTTGACCCGGCCAACTAGTACACATCACCGGGTCTCTCTTGGGATGCATTGTTAAAACACTCGGGTGTAAAACTGGAACTACTGACAGACATTGATAAGCACTTGTTTTTTGAAAGGGCAAAAAGAGATGGTATCTCGAGTGTGGGTGCAAAGCGATATGCAAAGGCGAACAATATGAGTTTACCTGACTACGACCCAAATCAACCGGAGTCATACATCATTTACCTAGACGCAAATAATTTATACGGCTGGGCTATGAGTCAATCGTTACCCTTAGGTGAGTTTCAGTGGCTAAAAAGCTTAGACAAATTTACTCCCAAGTTTATTTCCAAGTTACGAGCCGAAGACACGCACGGTTACATGTTTAAAGTGACTTTAGACTATCCGCAACACCTACAAGACAAACACAACGGATTTCCACTTGCCCCTGAAAATATGTCAATTCCCAATGAATGGTTTTCAAGCTACCGACAAAATTTAATTAGCAACGGAGAAAAAGTAGGCCTAACCTCGTCAGACAAACTCGTGGTCACTTTGGGTACCAAACAAAAATATATATTTAGAACGAAGATTCGAATTAAAGGAGGTATTAAGAGGTACACTGTGTCATGTCGTTTAAACAGTGGCCTTGGATGAAAAGCTACATCGACAAAAATACCGAGTTACGCAAATTGGTTAAATCTGATTTTGAGAAGGATTTCTTCAAATTAATGAACAACTCAGTCTTTGGAAAGACGATGGAAAACGTGCGCTTTCGTATGGACGGTCATTTATTGAGGGACTTACAAGAATCTGAGAAATATAAAAAATCAACTTTTAAACCAAACTACAAATCGCCGGTACCGTTTAAAGAGTGTGATCTCTCATTTGTGGAAATGTATCGGGTAAAGACCAAGCTAAATGAGCCGATCTATTGCGGAGTAAGCGTGCTCGAGTTATCTAAAACTTTAATGTACGATTTTTATTACAACGAACTAAAATCAAATTTTGGTGAAAAAGTAAATTTACTTTCACGGACACTGATTCTCTGTTAGTTCACATCCAAACTGACGATTTAAACGGTTACTTGAATAAAAGACATACATTATTTGACTTAAGTAATTACCCGCCCGATCATCGCCCTTACGATTCAAAAAATAAAAAAAGTCATAGGCAAAATGAAAGACGAATTTGGTGGGCAAATAATTTCAGAGGTCGTTTGAATACGTCCGAAAATGTATTCGATCCTAACTACCGATCAAAATTCAAAGAAGGCGAAAGGGGTAACAAAAGTAGTAACCCAAAAGAACCTAACCCACGAGATGTATAAAAGCTGCCTATTTGAACAAAGCAGCATTTCAATAAACAGCAGCTATTTAGATCAGATAAACATCAGATATTCATGGTGTCGCAAAATAAGTTGAGTCTCTCGCCGTTAGACACAAAGCGCTACATATTATCAAATGGGGTTGATAGAAAGAAAAGATCCCTCAATTCAGTTAAGACTCGGACGGTAATTTGGTATCCTCGGGTACGACCTGAAGTTCCTCTTTGACGAAACTCCTATTTAGCCTGTTTAATAAATAATACAAAGTGGTGCGCTTTTCCACTTGATAAACGTCCACTGACCAGACGGGATCTGTCGCCCTTCTGACGGTGCTGCCCTCTTGCTCGCCCGGGTAATATAAATATCTAACGACCACGTCTGGAAGTAATTCATGCGACGCGCTTTTAACAGGTGCACTCGGTGTTTGTTTCACTCGGTCTAATTTGACGGCTTCTGCAGGAACGGCATCAATTAAACGCGTTTTTTCCTCATTTAACGATTTCACAACTTGAGGCAAACGTTCTACCCATTCCACGTTACGAACTCCTACGTTTAAC